GCATGAGCCACCATGCTCAGCCAGGAAGGGACAGACCTTTAACAAGTGATGCTGGAACAATTGTTGATCGTATTTTCTTTAAAGTAGAATTGGACTCCTACTTTGTGCTAGCCACAAAAATCCAGTCTGGATGGGACTTAAATGTGAAAGGCAAAATTATGAAACATTTAGAAGAGAACACAGTCTGCTTTTTGATCTTGGAGTAGGGAAGGATTTCTCAAATGAGGCACAAAAACTTTAAACCATGAAGGATTTTATTGAAATTAAAGTATTCTGTTCATGAGAACACACTCAAGAGTTTGAAAAGACAAAGCCCAAACTGAGATAAAATATTCATCGCACATAAAATGGACAAAAGTATAGCTTCCAGAATGTAGAAATAACTACAATTTAATAATGAAAAGAGAAAGCGGGGAGGAAGAAAGCAGGAAAGAAAATGGTCAAAAAACAGGAGCAAGTATTTCGCCAGAGAAGAACATGAAATGTTCCATGAGCATAAGCAAAGGTGCTCTGCCTCGCTGCTAAGGAGGGAGGCGTAAAGGAAACCCCGGTGAGGTGCAGTTTCACGGTCAGCAGATTGGTGTTGCCTGCCTTTTAAAATTTTTGCCAGATATTTGTGAGGCTATGGAATGGGGGAAACATTTATAACCCATTTGTAATTTGGAAAAGAATTCAAAGATCCCTAGTAAAGTCAAACATGGGCAAACATCACCACCCAGAGTTTCCAACCCAGATTAGCCAGAGAAACTCATATCTGTCCAGCAAGGCAGGGGTCCCCAACCCCTGTGAACCAGGCCCCACGTCAGGAGGGGAGCTGCAGGCTAAGAAGCTACATCTATATTTGCAGCTGCTCCATACCACAGCTGCTCCCTACCGCTTGCATTGGATTCTCATAGGAGCAAAAACCCTATCGTGAACTGTGCATGTGAGGGATCCGGTGGCCCACTCCTTAAGAGAATCTAACGCCTGATGATCTGTCACTGTCTCCCATCACCCCCAGATGGGACCATCTAGTTGCAGAAAAATCATCTCAGGGCTCCCACTGATGCTACATTATGGTGAGTTGTATAATTCTTTCATTATATATTACAGTGTAATGACAATCAAAATAAAGTACACAGTAAGTAATAATAATGTGTTTGAATCATCCCCAAACCATCCCCCACCCCCACCCCCAGTCCATGGAAAAATTGTCTTCCATGAATCTGGCCCCTGGTGCCAAAAATGTTGCGGACCGCTGCAGTAGACGACATGTACACAAGAACATGCATAACAGTATGATAAGAGCAAAAGAAGGCGTGGTCAGAAAAACCCAAAGTCCACCTGTAGGAGAATACAACATAGCAATGAAATATATGGACTACAGCTCTATACAACCATATGTATGAATCTAACAAATAGAAGATTAAGTAAAAGAAACCAGTCCGTTCATAGAAGAATGAACACAGTATGAGGCCATTTTTATAAGGTTCAAAACTGGATAAAATTAAACAATATATTGCTTAAGAATATGTACACTAGGAATAAAACTGTAGAGGAAATCAAGATAATGATTAACAGAAAATTCAGGATAATGGTTACCTCTGGTTGGTAATAAGGGGAGTGTAATAATGAATTTAGCATGAGGGGGTATGTGAGATGAATTGCCTCTCCCTTCCCCGCAACAAATTCCTATACTGACGTCCTGACCCTGGTACCTTAGAATGTGACTGTATTTGGAGAAAGGCCCTTTAAAAAGGCAATTAAGGTAAAATGAGGTCATATTCGTGGACCCTAATCTGATATGGCTGGTGTCTTTATAAGAAGAGATTAGGACACAGTCATGTAAAAGGCCATCTGTGGACACAGCAAGAAGACAGCTGTCTCAAAGCCAAGGAGAGGCCTCAGAAGAAACCAAACCTGTCAATGTCTTGATTTTGGACATCTAGCTCCAAAGCTGTCAGAAAATAAATTTCTGTTGTTTAAGCCACACACTCTGTGGTGCGTGTTATGACAGCCCCACCAAACTAATACAGGGGACTTCTTAGATTATAGAAATAGTCTTTTTCCAGCTGGGTGTTAGGTACCCTGGTGTTTATTTTATTGTTTTTCAAATTGTACTTATATATTTTATATACTCTTGGATGTACTTTCCGAATTAAAAAAAAAAAAAAAGAACGATTACTGCCAAAGCATTTCTGGCCCATTGGTTAGCATTTAATTGATTTATTCGGCAAGTGCAGTTCTTTAAGCATTTGATAAAAGACACGGTTCCATTAGGGTAATCAATATATCATTTTTAAGAAAAGGAATGCCATATTTTACCAGTACTACTTCATTATCTTCAATGGATAACAATCAAAAGAAGATGGAACGAATACATGCTTTTAAGAGGTCTAAGGCAATTCATGGTCTTGAATTAAAATAGCTGTCTGTTCTCCCTCTCTATTGATTTCTCCTTTACCAGTCACACCTCAACTAATATACATAAAGGTCTTCCCATCTCTCTGAAGGAAAATATATTCTTCTGCAAGATGTTGACATTGGACTCTCATAACTGTTCTAATACTTTATGTGGAATTACTACAAATGTTAATGCTTAAACTACGTCAATTCTTTGGGGAAAATGGATGTTGCAAATAATATATTTTTATTCACATATGCAATTGTCAGGATTTCCTTTTAAGGTATGTGATCTGTGCATGGATATCTTGGGCAAACACAATTTGTAACCAAAGGAACTAAGTTATTTATGTTTACATACATATAAAACATGTAGTTATACACACGCAAGTATACATGCATAATGGTGTTTGGACACATTTTGCCAGAATATTGTGACATTTTGTTCTAATGTTTTATTGTAAATATAATTAACAATCTTGTTTTTCACACACATAATTAATGAGTACATATTGTAGACCCTGGAGAGAACATTATGCTAGTGGTTGTAGTGAAACCCGGGTGTCGGCAAGTATAGGCAAATATGCAAGAATCCCTGTGATGGACTCAAAAGCAAATATCTGTAAGGGCATAAGAACACGCTGACACTCTACACTACAGGGAAATGATGCATGTTTCATGGCATGTAGGATCAAATAGGAATATTAATTTTCCAAGTTGAGTAGACACTCAGAAATGCATGCGGTTCTTATAAACACCAGACAGTATCAAAATATATAAATTTGATGGCTTTTGTAGTGTTTTGCTAGAATAAATCCATCAAAAACAAGACCTGTGAAAAGGCAGAAAATATACGTAAGAATTTCATGTATCTGAAATTCACCAATTTACCTCTCAAGCTTAAGTGACTATTTAAAATAATATCTTCCATCAGTGAAAATTGAGAAAGAGCCTCCTTGAAGCTCAAAAGAAAAAAAATCCTTGGGTTGGTACTTAATTTTATCTCTTGAACGCCCTGATAGTTAAAACAATCTATTTCTCAGGCAGCCATTGCATGATGTCAGTTTTAGGTCTTCATCACCGACTCAGAGCTCTCCAATAGAATGTTCCATGGGGATGAAAATGCTCTATGTCTGTGCTATTCCACAGTGGTGGCCACCTGCCACATTTAGTAATTGAGTCTTGAAGTGTGTCCCATATGACTGGTGAACTAACTTTTAAATTTCGTTTTATTTTAGTTAACTGAAATAGCCATAGGTAGCAAATGGCTACCATGGGAGACAGAATGACTACAAGAAGATGTACAAAGTGCTGCCCTAAAAACAAAGCAAAGAGAGTGTTTCAGCCTTTCTGATTCTACCCGTTATCTGGCCTTAGTTAAGGCATGTTTTGCCTTTTTCTCAAAACTCACATGACCTTCAGTTATTGTAGGTTTTGTTTAAATTTTGTTTCATTTTAACGAATTATTTTCATGTTGGCTATTTGGAACCTACAAAATCTGTGTTATCTTAAAGTATACTAGTGTGTGGTTCGTTAAGTCATGGTATGGCTGAAACATTATATATATTGTGAAAAGGTCTCTTGAGCTCTGGAGTTATAAGACCGCCTTTCAGATATGAAATATTAGAAAACTACGCCTAAACTTCTCATTCTCATAGCTTTTATACAGTAAGCGTAATACTGACATAACTGACAAGGCAAAGGCGGACAAAGTCCACATAACTGAAGGAAGCACTAATTGAATGTGGTGGTGACGATGTTTCAGCAAGACTGAGTCTCCACTTTCTGCACTCTGCAGTGCTGACCAGAAAGAGTGAGGTACCCTTGAGTTTGTGGTGCCTGTTCCATGGGATGACCCCCAACTCTCCCTCCAATCTTGTCTTTTTTTTCCTTTTTTTTTTTTTTTTTTGAGACAGAGTTTTACTCTTATTGCCCAGGCTGGAGTGCAATGGCACGATTTTGGCTCACGTAACCTCTACCTCCTGGGTTCAAGCAATTCTCCTGCCTCAGCCTCCTGAGTAGCTGGGATTACAAGGGTGTGCCACCACCAGACTATTTTTTTGTAATTTTAATAGAGATGAGGTTTCATCATGTTGACCAGGCTGGTCTCGAACACCTGACCTCAGCTGATCTGCCCCCCCACCCTCAGCCTTCCAAAGTGCTGGAATTAGAGGCTTGTTTTCTTTTTTTGAGACAGGGTCTCACTCTGTCACCCAGGCTGGAATATAGTGGCATGACCATAGCTCACTGCAGCCTCGAACTCTTGGGCTCAAGTGATCCTCTCGCCTCAGCCACCCAAGTAGCTGGGACCAAAAGCATTAGCACACCTCGATAATATTCTGATTTTCTTATTTTTATTATTTTGTAGAGACAGGATCTCACTATGTTGTCCACCTAGGCTGGTCTCAAACTCCTGGACTCAAGCAATCCTCCTGTGCCTGGCCTTCACTACTGCTAAGAAAACTTAATTTGTAGACTGTGTTGTGATGGCATTTGGCTCTTTCTTAGATTGACTGCATCATTTATTCCCTCAATTGATTATGCCTGTGGAGCTTATTCAGATATTTGTAAGTCAAAGCCAAACATTTTTCAGCTGATTTTTCTTGTTTATCTTTCAGAAACATCCAGAAGTGCTGAATATTCGAATACAACTGGAAAGCAAAGAACTGATCATAAATCTGGAAAGAAATGAGTAAGTTAATTCTTTTTTATTGCATGATAGGAGAAAGTTAAGACACCATGGACAGGAAAGTGCTATGTGATTTATGTTGGCGTTTAGAAAAACAGAACAAAATGCCTGGATTTGTAATCCAAATTTGGATTTGAGGCTAGAATTAACTTTAAAAAATTATCTGATGGAAAAATAAAGAATTTTATCACTCTATAAAGGAGCTTTATAACTCAGCACTATTTTTCATAGTTCTGAGGTTTTATTTTTTCAGAGCCCAATTGTTTAAGGATTTAATTTAAGCATCCCTATACTGTTCAAATAACAGAGTTTTATAATTAGTTGACGTTTGACAACTCCTGGATTATATTAGGGGAAACAGCTTCAAACTGATAAAAATTATCTCCCCGAGAAATACCAAGAGTTTATCTTTCAAAGCTTATCTCCAGTGGTTTGGACTATTTCTTTCATCTTCTTATTTTAAAAAATTGGTCCTTTTATGGAAAAATTATATAAATTTCCAGAAAATGGCATTATGGCTTTTTCTGGGCCACTTGGATACTAGTATATATTTTGTATACCTTACTAGCAGAAAATTTTGTCTGCCTCTAAGCATAAGTTAAAAACAACTAATTTTCTTATTCTTTACACCCTGGATATCCCCACAGATTCCTCTGATCTAAAGGATTCCTTAATATTCTATTTCATTAGTATCATAAAAGAAGAGCTTATTAGTTCTTCTAATAAGCAATCTGTATTTAAAGATAGAAGTCAATGTTCCAAGTCCTGCTTTGTCAAAATAGCAGTCTCTGTCTTCCAAAAGTACTGGTTTCTGTTCCTCACCCATCAGCAGGATGCTGATTTTTTTTCTAAAACAAGAGTAGAGGTGAGAGAGCCTCACTGGGCTGAGTTCTGTCAGGGACTTGGAGTCCAGAACCTGACTCAACATCTCCCTGTAAACAAGTCAGATCATTTACTTGTGTCAGTGCTTCGATTTGAGTGTTTTTAGCAAGTCAGACGAAAGACACAATCAACAGCCAGTCTGAATGTTTGATCTCTAACGTCACAATATATTAAAATGTATATAAAATCACATTACCTGCATCCTAGGATCGGCAACCTGCCTCTTTGTATTTTTTTTACATGATTATTGCTTACCATTAAATGAATCAGAAGCTTTGGGAACAAGAAATGAAGTGTTTTTAGCTTTTCTTGTGACTTGATCTGAAAATAGAGGTTCAGGCACACATGTATTATATAATCAGGGTTCCAGAGAGAAAACTTTGTGTTGCTTTAGATCTGTCTCTCTTAGCAAAGTACAAATTTTCATACTCTGTTTCTTCCCATAAGAATATCAAGAGGCACCACATTTTTGTAGATTGTTTTTTATGTATGGTTTTGAAAATATCTCAGTGTAAGAAACAAGGTATTCCCTGAAAGATCAAAAGGATATGAGGCTTCTGGTGGGAATGCATTTTCTAGGTGGACTTGTTGTGGTGGGCAGATGGCTTTAGGAGTTTTCTTTATTGCACCTGCTCCCATTGTTAGACTGTTTGAAGAAACGTGGTGCACAGCATGAGTGGAGGCTAATCTTGAACGTCGTATGGAGCATTATGACTGCAGGTAGAGAAGCAAAAATCGACCTCATAAAAACCTTAAGTTGTTTTTCCTATGAAAATAATATGCATACCCAGTGAAGAAAACTGAACATTATAGGGGGTAAAAGGAACAAAGAACCCTAAAACCAAGAAAAAAAAAAGTGCTCTTACCAGCAAACACAATCCAGTTAAGATTCTGGTGAATTATATAGATGGGGTTTTTTTTTCCTTGTAAATAAGCCTTTGCTTCTTTTGTCTTCTTTGTTGATGTCATAGTCTATATGCAATTTTATATCCTACTTCATTGAGCTTCATAATGGACATACATTTCCATAGAGAAATAATTTCTCAGAGCCCACCTGGTTCTCTGAGTTTGTAAAGTGACTTAGTAGCCTTGTCCATGGTTCCCTCTGAAAATGATTTACCTTCCACTACTGCAGATACTAAAATATATGTTGACTGGTAGACAGTGGCTAATTTGTATAAATATCATTTTAAAGGTGACTTAATTTGCTCCCTTTCAATTCAGGGTCTTTCATGAGATAATCTCAAAATTATAAAAGTCAAACACATAAAACTATCTCTTTTTAATTTATGTCTCTCTTCCCAACCTTACTATCAGACTGCATTTTCAAAAAAATATGGAGAATGTTTCATATGTTCCTGTGATAGTCTATAAGTTTAATTGCATTGTACCAATTTTAGAAATTCCGTTATATTAAGAGTAACATTTTCAGAAGAGGATGCCAATATTACTATTTTAATGATGGATTACCCAAAATGCTTCAGTGTAACAATTTTTTCGCAAAAGGTTACATGTTTATTCCAAATGAACTATACTTTTGATGCAATGAATACAAAGAAAAAAATCAAGTAGAGTGAAATGCTTGTGTACTACTAACTGTGATGCTGTTAGACACAAAAGGCAATCAATCATTTAGTATATAACAGAATTTTCAATTTGCATAGCCATTGGCCCAGTAGATTTAAGTCAGAGAGTCTTCACAAATGAAGCTATAAGAACCCAGAGATAAAAATGTAAGCAGAGGCCATTTGCATGTTTAACGACCAGTACAGTAGAGGGCATGACCAATCAGGATGAACCCCTGACCAATCAGAAGGCAAGCTGGTCAGTACACCGCACCAGCGCCCGGAGGCCCAGAGTCAGCCCTGTGCTCAAGGTTGTTTTACGTAAAAGTATGTTAATAGGAGATGGATTCAATAATCAGCTATGAAACAGGATACTATTCAACAATTAAAAATGATGAAACTTTTATTATTTAAAAAATTCATGATATAATCAATGTAACTAGCATGTTAGAAAATAGCTGTTTCCTGCTAGTGTTTATTATTTTTTAATGAAAATAGCTTACATAGTATTCAATGTTTATTTTAAAATTATACATATGACATTTATCTCTGAGTAGGAAAATTATAGAAGCTATTTACTTTATTGTCTTAATGTTTTACAAAAATAAAATACTACTTTTAAAATAAGGAATAAACCTTTTTCTTTGAAGGAAAAAACATATCGTAAAAATTTGGTAATGGCTAAAAGAAGAATGCTAACATATTTATTGTTCCTGAAAAGGAAATGATAAAGGTTATTTTGAAAGGCCTCTGAAAGGCCTCTAGTGACTTTTAAAGAGCAAATAAGATCTACTTGTTGAATATTGGGTCTTTAAATATACAGAAACTTGCTGTAATTGAAAAACCTGCTTAGAAGCCACAACCTAAATTAAAGTAGTCCTAGTCCCTTAAATCTATAGCTAATGCTGAGAGTCATCTAATTAACCCTACTCAAAATGCTTCTGTGGTGAACTGATTCTTCATGGCACGGGGCTGAATTTTTATTAAATAGTTTTTCAGGGAATCTCTTTTATTTGCCTTCTAACATCTCTAATTTATGAAAAGATTAGATGCTGTTCACTTAAAATCTGTATTTGTATAGCCATAATTGAATGTTTAAAGAAACACAAAGCTTCCCCTGAGAAACATTTTTCACAATATTGCTGCCTGCCTATGGACCTGCAGAAACCAGGTTTATAACTTTCATAACTCTACTGGATCCCCACGGACGCTCAGGCCATCCCTTACACAGGTACTCTGTGAAACTATATCTCTGATGAAAATGTTTTAGTGTGCAGGCTAGCCAGCTTAGACATCAGTTTTTCCAGCTTAGGATAATGAAGCATGATGGCAGTAGATCACGCTCCCTAGGTCTCTCAATCCCAGAGCACCTTCATTTCAAGTCCTGTTCCCATCACTGACTGAAGGCAGTTGCCATGGGAGGTCCATGGCCCACTGAATTCGTGTTAGGGGGGTATCTCTGGGATAGAGCAACTTCAGCATTGACTTATTTTGTCTGGAATGATTCCAGACATCTCTTACAGGGAAACTTTAATTAGTATTCACTCTAGAACAATAACAGAAAGGGCATTTTAATATGGCCAAACATGGACATAAATATTTGGAAATGCATTTATTTTAAATCGTCTCTCAGAAAATCATGGTGCAGAACGGAGAAATGTAGCCAGTGTGGAGATGGCATTAGATGGTTTACTTGGCTGAATTACCATCCAGAAGATACTAAGCCATTGGTCCTGTTGACCCAACCCATGTTGAACAGGGGCACTGAGGTCGCTGCCGGTGGCCTTAGGGCTGTGTGCATGGCCTTGTCCTGGCCCACAGTTTCATCAGCCATCCCGATGAAGACATAAAAGGTGCTCTGATTACATTTCCTGGCAATGCAGAGCTGGGGGTGGATAACTGTGCTCGGCATGGCAAAATCTGGATTATGGAGATTTCAGCAGTTTGGATCAATGGGCCAAAACTAACAAGATGAGATTTAACAGGGATAAATGTCAAATCCTATGCTTGGGTTAACAAAAAAATAAACGTTGCAAGTTCAGAAGGAAATTTGTTAGTAGTTCTCATGAATGAGACCTGCATACTCAAAAGAAGCCCCTGAGGCAGTGTGGCTGATAAAAGGGTGACTTCCACCTGAGTGTGTGGTGGGTATATGTGGTGGGTCCTAGGCAGGGGAGGTCATTCCTCTGCTACACAGCGTGAGACACAGCCAAAACCCTGCATCGTTCAGTGTTCCAAGCCCGACATCAGAGAGCCACCTGCTACTATATTCTCATTTCCATCATTGGATGTTCTGTTCCTTTCCTCCTCTACTGACCATGACATCCTTACAGTGAGGGACAGGGTCTTCACACCCTCCCTGACCACCTCCCACACAGCATGGCTCATAATAGGCACTTGAGAAACACTCGTCAAATGAGTGGCTGACAGAACCCAGGCAACCTGGACCAAACTGGAAGTGAGTTCCCAGGAGGTCGGAGGCCACCTGGGTGAAGTGAAAAACAATTCAAGGAGAAAAGCTTCTAGAAAGGAACACAGGATTTGGAGTTAGGAGCC